TATATATATATATAGTTCGTATAATTTTCTACAAATCTGTCTTAACTTTACAGAAACAATAAGTAATACTAATGATAATAATAATTAAATAAATAGTTAACATAATAATTAATATTAAAGTTAATAATAGTAATATAATCATTTAAAATTAATAATAATAAAATCATTTCGAACTAGCTCCTTGACATCATTAAATCTGAACCTGAACATAATCCTGTAAGTATCATGTTTCTTTTTTTTTTTTTTTTTTTTTTTTTTACTGCCCCTTGACGTTAGAAAATTTTGAAAGTAACTCAGTTAGTTTGAATAAAGAATTTTTCCTACTTAAATTACTGGCCACAAGTTCTTCGAACTAATATAGCGGTTATTAGTTTCCAAATAGTTACCGCGTTTAGATTAAGCTTTTTGCCGACGTTTCGCAAACATTTCAGTGCTTATCAGTATTACGCCGAAACTATACTTGCTTGTAAGAGGATCATTAATTAACGAGTAAATTTGATTATCATTATCAAATATTCAAACTCTAAGCAATAGATTACTAACTTCTTCATATGTTATACAAAAGAGAATCTTGGAAATAAATCAATGAGTAAAATCTTAACTGTACAATCTATCAAAAAATGAAATTTTAAAAAAGTAATCTAGAAATCAAATAAATTGATAATTATTATTAAATTTAATCGATAAAAAATATTTTAAAAGTTGTAAACCATCACCCTAATAAAATAAAAATAAAAAGTAATAAGTAATAACTTACTCATAATTGAATGAACTAACAAAAGAATAAATTTTTGTTTCAGCAATTCATAATCCAGACTCGATTCGTATGCCAATTCAACATAGAAGGTCGAGTAACGAGTGTGAACGCAAAATTAAGAGCCGACACAATATTCTGTGATGAAATGGAATTTTCATACAGTTCAAAGCCTCCGAACATCACAGTGCCCTTCGCAGTAATATGGGGTGGCTCAAAGCCCCTCGACAATCCAGACAATATTCATGTAGTTATTTATAGATGTCGTGATATGGCGGACAATTGTGGTATGTGTTTAGCAATTCCACCTAAGTACGGTTGTGGATGGTGTCAAAGCTCGGACCGGTGCGAAGTCAAAGAGCAGTGCGACCGTGGTTCTGGCATATGGTTGGACAGAAATATGACATGCCCAAATCCCGAAATTCACTCATTCGAGCCAATGATGGGGCCCTGGGAGGGTAATACCAACATCACAATACGGGGTATTAATCTCGGTAAAACATTCAACGATATCTACGGCGGAGTCAGTGTCGCCGGAATGCCATGCCAGCCATATGAGAGCCTTTACATTCGTACTAAGCAAATAACATGCCGAGTGGACGGTCCCGGTTCTAAAGAGCCGAAACAGGGACCAGTTATAGTTAAAATCGAAAACTTCCGCGGACAATCTCGTCACAATTACCAATTTGTCAACCCCGTGATCACCAACATATTTCCGAGCTACGGCCCAAAAAGTGGTGGGACCATCGTAAAAATAACAGGACGTTATATGAATGCTGGAAGTGAAATCAAGGTGATGATTGACGAGCTACCTTGTTCGGTAATCAACACCAACTCCAATGAAACTCTGTGTATGACAAGTGCCAGCGATGTCAACCGGAATGGCACCCTGCTAATAACATTCGACGGGCGTAATCGGACTTACAATGGTTTCTTCGAGTACGTAGATGACCCGACGATCAAGGGGGTCGGCAGCGGAGTTGCGGGGCAGATGAAGATTCCGAAGGGTATTCCAGCGGGTGGAATTAAAATGTCTGTTTCTGGGAAGAATCTCGGGTACATACAAAACCCTCAAATGTACGTATACTACGACGACAAAATGTTTATCTCGCACTGTGACGTGCTGAGTCAAACCAGCATGGAATGCAGCTCTCCGACAATAGATGTTCCCGAGCATGTGGTCCTGGATGCTGATAGACCCATGAGCCTGGAGTACGGGTTCCGGATGGACAATGTCACTGGTGTGCAAAATTTATCTCGTAGTTTGTTAAATAATTTTCTCCTCTACCCAAATCCAATTTACGACAAATTTGACGAGGAAATAAAATACTACAAGAGCGACTACTTGACTATCAATGGGCAGCACCTTGACCGCGCCTGCCAGGATTCAGACGTTATAGTCCAGATTGGTAGCACATACTGCAACGTAACATCGTTGTCAAGACAGCAGCTAACGTGCAAGCCACCGATTTCGCAACCTCCGGCGCTAAATGCCGAGGGGCTGCCTGATAAACAAGAGTTACCGGAAGTGATTGTTATCGTCGGCAATACATTGAGGTTTAAAATCGGAAAACTCAGTTATGCATTGCCCGCTGGATTAAACGGACCGCTATCGAAACCCGCGCTGATCGGTGTTATTGCTGCAATAGTTATTCTCATCATTATATTTATAGCATTTTTGATAGCGTACAGGCGGAAATCGACGGAGAGCAACCGGGTGTTGAAAAACATGCAGGAGCAAATGGACATACTGGAATTACGTGTAGCTGCTGAGTGCAAAGAAGCGTTCGCTGAATTACAAACAGAAATGACTGATCTGACGGGCGACGTTACTAGTTCTGGTATTCCATTTTTGGATTACAGGACTTATACTATGAAGATATTGTTCCCGAATGTTGAGAATCATGTAGTTCTCCAGTGGGACAGACCTGAGTTATCGAGAAAAGAAAAGGGCTTGAGGCTCTTTGGACAACTTATTATGAATAAAACATTCTTGCTGTTGTTTGTACGCACGCTTGAGAGCAATCGTTATTTCTCAATGCGTGATCGTGTTAATGTCGCAAGCCTCATTATGGTTACACTTCAGAGTAAGATGGAATACTGCACGGACATTTTGAAGACTCTATTGGCTGAGCTTATTGAGAAGTGTATGGAAGGAAAGAGCCATCCTAAATTGTTACTTAGACGGTAAGTTACAACTTTTTTTATTATATACTAAAATTATGAAGACATCTGGTTGTTTTTTAGAGATCAATCAGCATTAAAAAAATATTTTCTAACAAAAATTGATAGTTAATTTATAAAAAAAATCTTAAAAGTTATCCGATGGTTGTTGGTATCATTTTTAATTGTATTAATGAGTTTTTCTTTACTAATTTAAAAATATCTTAATTATTTCATTGTTTTTATCCATTTTTCATATAATGTGAAATTAATTTTTCATTTATAATTGTATTGGTGCAAGTTTTTACAGAAAATCATTTTTTTACGGTAAATTTAACTTCAATCGTCCACATAAAATGACAAATCACTACAAGAAGTTTAAATTCGTAATAGCTTGATTTTACAGTATTTAACTTTTGATAAGTATTAATCTGCTTGAATTCGGTTTGTTTCAACTACTGGCTATTCGTTAGTTACCAACTCTCATGAATTGGATTTAACTCACTTGGTCTTGTCGGTTAATTTGTATCAATACAGATATTCCAACTCTAAGCAAAATTTAATTCTAAAGCGAGGTTTTTTTTTGTACATAATCTTATTAATTCTTTATAAGTCGATAGTTTTATTTTTACTCTAGCGCTTAAAAAAATATTTAATTACAGTGAAACCGCGTTTAAATTCTTAGCACAAAATAAAGTTATTTAAGAGTAATATATAACGTCGGTTTTATTCTGTTATACCAGCGTTATTATAGAGAACTTCTTAAAAATTTATTCATTATTAAAGTATGCAGTATTGTTTTAACCCAACAATTACTCTCAACTTTCATTTTTTACCTGCAATTAATTTAATAACAACAATTACACTTTTCTCTAAATTAATACTTAATAACAACTAATTAACTTTAACTGTTGAATAACTTTTCTTTTTTGTTATTAATTTCCCTGCATAATTAATTTCATAGCGAAAAGTTTATCGTTAAAATTTTCATTTTAAAACTCACAGAGAAATGTCGTTGTAAGATATTTTGTTATGCATGAGTTCATAATTAAGATTGTGTAAAAACTATTCTGGAAAAATTGCATATAAACCAGACTGTAAAATGTTAAATCCTTTGTTTCTTTTCTCGTAACTGAAGTTAATGTTTCTTCGTATTATTTTTTTCTCAACTTACATAAGAAATATTGTTGTAAAAATAAAAATAATAAACGTAGTAGTAATAATAATTAATAATAGTATTAAAAAAATGAAAATAAATTATCATGAAAAAAGATAAAAATATATTATAAAATAATAGGTCAGTTAAAAAAAAAAAAATAAAAGTAGTTTTGTACCTTTGAGTCTGGTTACGCTCGGTGAGGTTTAATTAACTTGGGAAAGTGAAAATAATAAATAATAACTAAAATATTTTTTTTTTTTTAATTTTTGTCCTTAGAACGGAAAGTGTAGCTGAAAAAATGCTCTCCGCCTGGTTCACTTTTCTTCTGTATAAATTTATGCGCGAGTGCGCTGGCGAACCACTTTATATGCTGTTCCGTGCGATGAAGCAGCAGGTTGACAAGGGTCCTGTGGACGCTATCTCGTCTGAAGCACGATACTCACTCTCCGAGGAGAAACTTATAAGACAGTCAATTGACTTTAAAGCAATGGTAAGCGATATTACTCAAGCTATTACATTATTCATCAAGTTAATTAATCAATTACTATATAAACTTTAATACTTTTTAATAATTTAATATACTGGTCATTATCTATCTATATTAACTTAATTATTGAACATCAAAGTATGTAACCAAAATTATCCTCTTAACGTTTAAATAGAAATATATTTTAATTAAAACTTACATTTTTTTTTTTTTAATTTCAGACCGTCTATGTAACGATAGCTCAACAAACAGTCTTCAGTGGTTTGGATCCAAGTACTGAGAATGTTCCTGTTAAAGTACTTGACTGCGACACTATTTCTCAAGTTAAAGAAAAAGCACTGGATACTATCTATCGTTCTACACCTTATAGTCAACGTCCTAGAAAAGAAGATCTTGATCTAGGTATATTTTAAATAAATTTTTTGTTTTGATTTAAATTATTAATATGAATTCTTTAAATCCAACGTTACTGACTAAGAAACAATAAAAAATATGTGATTTATAAAATTTATATAAAAAGTTTTTAAGACTTAGAAAAATTTTAAATACATATAAAATACTTTTTAGAACTATTTATATACTATAAATACTTTAAATCATGAATTTTAAATTTAAAATATTTTTATCTTAATAATGGAAATTTGATATCTATTTTATGTCTGGAAAATATAATAAAGTTAGACCATTTTTATGATAAATAACAAAAGTTATCTGCTACAATATTTATTTATCAGAGCAAAAGTACTTGGAACACTAATAATATTGAAAATACGACTAAAGTAACTTTACTTGTATAAGACATTAATTTAAATGTAGTTTTCATAAGTTGATTGATGAAATACTTTTATAATTTTTCTCTTCTTATGGACTTACCATAAGTATACATTATTAGGCATACTTTTCTCTATTGAATTACGATAAAAAAGCATTTAAAGAAAAAAATATATTATTTTTCCGACTAAGTTTTTCATAACAATATTTTAAAATTCATCTCACGTATGTTTATTTATTCTCAAGTCGATCTAACAAACTTGAATTGGAATTACGATGAGAATATTGTATCATCAAGTTACATTAAACAAACCTATTGAGAATAGCAGTTAGTTTTAGAAAAGTCAAGATATCTTAATCTTAATTTAATTTTTAATCGAAAATTTTAAATGATTTTCAATCAATTGATTACTTCTTAAAATTAGAGCTTAATATTTTTATTGAAAATATTTTTATATAAATTTTACATCATATATTTTTAAAATTCCAATTCAGTAACTATTGACATCCAAGTCCATTAAAACTTTAATAATTAATTTATTCTCTCATTTAAAAAGTGCTGATAATAGAGTAATATTTATAAATCACAGATTAAATAATAGATATTAAAATTTTTCTTTATAAAAAATCAGAATCAATTCTGATATTCTAGAGGATAAAAATATTTTTTATGACCAAATCGTTAATTGTAAATTATATAATATAACTACAACAATAATTAATAATAATACTAACAATGATTATTATTGAAACAGAATGGAGAACAGGAGCATCAGGGAGATTAATTCTGTATGATGAAGACTCAACAACTAAAACAGAAGGGGAATGGAAGAAGAGAAATACATTGAATCACTACCGAGTACCGGATAGTGCATCACTGAGCTTAGTATCTAAACAATCCTCAATTTATAATCTTTCAATACTATCGGAGAAGACTGACAAATCACACAAGTACGAAACATTAAATCTAAGCAAATTCAGCTCTGCAAGTCCACCATTGTCACGTGCAACATCACCATTAAACCACGACCACGACGGGGGTTTAAAAGTTTGGCATCTAGTTAAACATCACGATACAGATGCGCAAAAGGAAGGAGAACGTGGCAATAAAATGGTGTCGGAAATATATTTAACGAGGTTATTAGCAACAAAGGGTACTCTTCAGAAGTTTGTTGACGATTTGTTCGAGACTATATTTAGTACGGCACATCGTGGCTCTGCCCTGCCATTAGCTATTAAATACATGTTTGATTTTCTTGATGATCAAGCATTACATCACGGCATATCGGATCCAGAAGTTGTACACACGTGGAAGAGTAATTCATTGCCATTAAGATTTTGGGTTAATCTTATCAAAAACCCTAATTTTGTATTTGATATTCATAAATCCAATATTGTTGATTCCTGCTTGTCTGTCGTCGCACAAACATTTATGGACAGCTGTTCTACGTCTGATCATAGATTAGGTAATATTTTTGTTTATTTTATTAATTATAAATTTAAAAAAAAAAAAAAAAAAAAAAAAAAAAGTTTGAAAAATCCAAAAGTACACGACTCATTTAATGCTCATTTAAGGAAGTACGAGCACCAAAGCAACTTTTGATAAAAAACTTGATTTTTTTTTAATATGGAGTTTAAATATGTCTAAACAAATTTCGAAAATTTGAAGGAGATTGCCTGATCATTTAAATAAATAATTAACTTTAAAGTTGAGCAATTTAACATTGGTCTTATGGGGTAACTTCCAAACATTGATATATTTCTGTATTTTTCTCGTAAAACTGTCGGTGAATATTTTTAAAAAACTTATGGATGAAAGTAAATATATCAGTGATAAATTTAATTCAAAAAAATTTACACTTGCCCGACTAATTAAATGCCGCTATTAGCCAATGTTAAATGTATATCTATATATTGAGAAAAATCATATGGTTACTGCTTTCCCTTTACTGCGCTAGAGTTGATACCTATCCCCACCCCGCCTAGCGCCTGTACTTCCTTAATTATGAAATATTAATAAAATAAAAAATGTGAAAAAAATATATAAAACAGCTAAAATAGCACGATAATGCGTACCCGCCTTCTGGTTTTCGTTTTATTTTATTAATTGTACATAAACGACACTGAATTACCTAGCCATTCGCATTCGGTGACCAACAATTCTTCCAAAGAATTAAAAAAAAAAAAATTTAACTCAATTATAATGAATTTTTTCGCAAGTTACAGTGTTTCCGGAGTTTCATACATGACGGACAGGAAAATTTTTTGACCTATTTTGATGCTTTTTTCCATTACTATTGCACTAAATCAATTTTTGAAAAGTGTTAAATTAATCTCCATTAAATTATCTTGACAATAGTATGCAAAATATCTTGATTCTGTGAACTAACAAGACTATAATAATAAAAATAATTGCCGAAATGAGGCGAAAAAAATTTTTTGATCGTAAAGCACTCTTTGATGCTTCGCATCATGAGTCGTGCAAAATAAAAAAAAAAAGTTTATAATGATCCGAAAAAAATTATTAAGTTTAAATAAAAATTTCCAGTTATTTTAGTCTGAAGAAATTATGACGAATTTAAATAAAAGAGATAAAATCAATGTTAATAATACTGCAATAAATTAATAAAACAGAGATCTTTTAAATACTCTGTATCCAATTAAATATAAATGAATACTTAAAGAATTTAAAACCTCAGTCTTCTGACTTATTGATTTTATCAGTCAGATACTTACTTGAATATAAAAGCTAATTTAATTTAGCAAAAAAAATATCAAATGAAAATGATAGTCTTTAAAGTAAACAATTTATAAAAGTAATTTAAATTTTTAAGGATCTTATTTCAATGAAATAAATTAACGATCAATCATAACTGAAATAAAAAAATAAAAATAATTGTTTTAATTACAGGTAAAGATTCTCCGAGTTCAAAGCTGCTTTACGCAAAAGACATTCCATTGTACAAAGAGTGGGTAGAGCGTTATTACTCGGATATTAAAATAATGCCAGCTATATCCGATCAGGACATGAATGCGATGTTGGCTGAAGAGTCGAGGGTAAGTTTTTTAAAAATAAAATAATAGTCAATGCTTAAGTAAAACTAATATAAGTGGTTTGAATAATAATAATAATGAATTTCGTGGTATATTTACAGTCACACACGACGGAGTTTAATACTAATTGCGCACTGTACGAGCTGTATACGTATGCGGGTAAATACAACGAGCAATTAATAGTGACCCTTGAAGAGGATGAATTTTCACAGAAGCAAAGGTTGGCGTACAAATTAGAACAGGTGCACAATATAATGGCTGCGGATGTTAATCCCTGATGCCCTGTGATTCCAACCAAGCATCCGACAAAGCCTCTTCGACATGAATGGCCGTGCTGAGTCGTTATGCTCTTGGGTGGTTACAACTACTAATATTTAATGTTTAAGAATAAAAATAATTAGAAATAATAATAATGATAATTAATACCGCTATTTTAAAATAATGCCACGTCAACTGGCCTAATTGGACATTTAAACCATTTAAAAATGACAACCGTACGCGATGTGAATTTATTTATTTATTTATCTCGTATTTTTTGTTAACTTTTTTAAAAACACAGACTTTTATTGCGATATATTTAAAAATATTTGAGACAACTCATAATAAATAATTTAATAATTAGATAGGATATGTGAATGAGTGTGCGAACAACGTATATTATTTATAATATACAGATATATATTTAATAAATCACGTAAATAAATAAATAAATAAATAAATAAATAAGTCTTCGGGTAGGCCGCTGGCTGGAATGTGCGAGTTATCATCGCACTTACCAGATTATTATGTATATAAAGTACCAAAATAATTATTATCTATTGCAATAGGATGATTTATTATTATTATTGTTTATTTTTAAATTAGACATTTTTTATTATTTTTATTAATTAAACTTGTAATTGTAAACGCTCACTCCGGCGGCCCAACGGACACGCAGTCTAAAGACATCTGATAATTTTAAATAATACGAAAAAAAATAATTATAATTATTAATTGATTAATATTAGTATTAATAATAACAATAATAATAATGAGCGAGTGAACATTGTTCAACGATATATTTGTAAATGTATAATTGATCGATCCGCGCCACGTGCCGAGCAAGCGACTGACGACCTTAATAAATAATAAGTGTCGAATTTATAACGAATAAACATTTCCATCCACTGCTAAATAAATAAATAGCCGAAGACCCCAGCTTTTATTATTATAATTATTATTTATTAAATATTAACAGCTAGGTCTTGGCGGGTTGCGATTAATTTAATATAGTATTTAGCTAAAGTAATTGAAATAAATATAAATAAATGAATTAAAAATAATAAATAAATGAAACAAATCTATATATATATATAAATATAAATATTATACAATGAATGTCATATGTATATGTGTATATATACTTAATTAAAGGTGGTGTGACGTACATAAATATATACGTCTACCCTTCCGAAATGTATTACGCGATATAAATATTATACATAATTATTATAAATTATAATAATTATATTATATATATATATATATATATATAAATATAAATATAAAAATATAAATTTAAATTGAATTGTAATTGTAATTGTAATTTATAAATAGACGCACACACATTCGATGAAGAACGAAACGATAAAGTAACAATAAATAATTAAAGAAAAAAAATAAAAAATTAAAAAAAAAAAAAAACAAAAAACAAAACAAAATAATATTGTCGTTTACAGTGACATGAGAACGGTGTATTATTTCATAGTTATTAATTATGTGGACGATGGTCACGTGTGAGACCAACTCCAAGTGTGACGGTTGTGACGAGTGTGCGTGCTTCCCATTTGACAATTTATAAACGTCCCCTAAAATGCCATATAATCGTAATAAAATTTTTTTTTCATCAATAACTCTATCATTGTCATCATTATTCATTATAATTATTATTATTATTATTATCATCATTAAAATTTCATGTTATATGAGACAGTGTAAAATCGCATGAAATTATCTATCAAACCACCTTTGTGCCACTCTATTTCTCCTAATAAACAAAAACAAAAAAAAAAAGTAATTAAAAATAAAAACAATGCTTTACGCCTCCGTCGTCATTGATTGTTGTCACTCTTTAATTATTGTAATATATATATTTATATTTATTATTATTAATGATAATAATAATGATAACTGTTGAGTATTGTCTGATTGTAATACATTGATATTGAATTGATATGAATTGATAATCATTAATTAAAAGAAGATAAAAAAAAAACAAATATAAAATAATACTGATAAATTAATAATGAAACTATGTAATAAAAGTAAAATTAATCTAGCCATAATAAGTGATTGTGTGTTATGTAAGTTGTCGATTCGAGTCGCTGTGCAAATGGATCGGTATAAATGGATTATTTATAATTTAATAATAACAATGATGATGTACGGATGAATTGTTTTATTTATAAATGAAGATGAAAATAATTGTTTTTTTTATTTTATTTTAATTTCTTTTTTTTTTTATTTTTCCAAGTGCGTCAATTTAAAATGTGCATGGAAGTGGAGAAAGTATTTATTGCTCAAAAATATTTGGAAAAAATAATAAAATGAAAAATTATTTAAGATCAAGACGTGGAGAGGGAGATTACGAAAGAGTGATTAAAAGCGAGCGAGATTATTTAAATAGATAATAGGGGAATAAAAAGGGATGAAAGAAACCAAGTACGGAAGAGGTAATACCTTTAAATTGGACATATAATAAGAACGTGAAAGAGATAAAGGAGATTAGGAGTCTGATAGCCAGAAAATAATACATAATCTGAATACGAAAGTCGGGGAAAGACCGATTAAACGATTTACGATAAATGTACGAAAGTTAACAATGATTATGATTTATCAATAATAATAATAATAAAAAAAAAAAAAAAAAAAAAAAACTATTGAGATGGAAATAAAGGAAAAAAATTTATGTTGGTCAATTCGCCCGATCAAATGTATGATGTGTCCCTTCCCTCGCGCACGCCAACTTTTAATGGTACTAATAAACCCAAAGTGCCTCTGGTAGATTTTTGGGCATAAGCTTGAGTAATTGAGAACAAAAAATATTAATGATGATAATTAATAACAATAATGAATTATGAGAGAGACAATTAATGAGTAATTGCTGATTTGATTACGAATTAAAAAACGAATGAAATTTTTAAGGACAAGGGTTTTAAATTGTAACAACGTGTGCACATGCGTATACATATCATGATAATTACTGTACTGTCGCGTGTATGTATACCGTGTGCATGTGCATATAGAATAGGGATTATTATAGATAGATAGATAGATAGATAGTTGATAATAGCCTAGTCTTATGTATCTGTGTGTCTGTCTGTACCCCGAAGTGTCTTTCCCCGGCCGTCAATTCCTCAGCCTTTTTACGTATTTATTTTTATTATTGTTATTATTATAATTATTATTTTTATTTGCAATTTTCCTTATTACATGTCGTGTCTCATTTTATTTAAAAGCTTGTATTAGGTTTATTATTTTTATTGATGTAACATTTAAACATATTAAAAATTTTTATTCAATTAATTATTTTTATTTTTGTAAAATATTTAAATGTTATTACTTTTAATGTTACATTGGTAAAAATAATAATCGTTTATTTGTAAAAAAAGTATTAAAATATGAAAGTTATTTAAAAATCCGCGGCGTCTGACGGCCCCTGAGTTCACGACAATTGTCATGTAACGACGAGCTTTTTTCCATATCCTTCCCAATTCCAATTAAAAACTAATAAAAAAATCTAAAAAAATAACAAAAAAAAAAAAACGTATAAAATTTAACCTGGCTGTCCCAATTGTCGCGTTGATTATAATTATCTGTGCTCACGCCACGCGTGCTACGTCCTCCAATTTTCCCACTAAAGCACTTACTAATTGGCACCTTATGCTAAAACGTTTTTAATAAATCAATATTATTATTATTATATCGATGATTCCTTATTGATAATAATAAATAATAATTAACAAAATATATGGCCCCGAATTAACAATAAACAGAATATTTAAATAAAAAAATAATAATTGTAATGTGTACTCACGAAATACAATGCGCAGCTTTCTGCCCAGCAGTCTACCGTCGTGTGCGCTAATAAACATATATTTGAATAAATAAACGTTTGATAAGTAAATAAATAAATAATTAAACATACTATTGTGCGCGCCTAGTGTAATAAAATTATTATTTTATTTAAAATCGTGCATTTGTCGAGGATCACTTGCTGCTCCGTCCGTGAGGCCGATCAAGAGAGACGGACAAATTAATAAATATTATTTAATTATTTAAATTTCAAGCACGATTTGAAGGGGTGTGAAAAAATAAATAACAAAAATAATTAAAATACTAATACTACTACTATTACTATTACTATTACTACTAATAATAATAATAACAATAATAAAAGTAATAATGAAATATAATTGATAAGGGTATATATGAATGGACGAATGAATGAATTTGAACTGTGCAAGACTGAGAGAGACAGCGATGGGGGTTTGACTACCTGTCGATTGGGTAATTCCCCTCGCCGCTCATTTTTACGTCATTATTAATTACGAGTATAAATATAAATATATATAAATAAAAATTAATAAATATATATAAATAATGCATACATAATTTTTACGTTTACGTTTTATAATAGTCATTTCATTTATTTTATCTTTTCTTACAATTATTGATAATTATATAAAAAATAAATTGATGGATCAATAAATAAAATCATCACATGATCCATCATTCATTTTTTACTTGTTTTTCATTTTTATATACAAGTAATACATTTTTTTTATTGATTTATTCCATTATTATTATTATTATTATTTTTTGTATAAATGTGTGATTAATAGTATGGATAGGTGTAATAATTTTGTATGTTTATTGAACCAAAAATAAATATTGATAAAGATGAATGAATAAAAAAAAAAAAAATATAAAAAAAATGATTAATTAATCGCTTTCCATTGTGTTGAGAGATATTTGTTCATTTAAATCCTGTGGATCAATATCACTGTCTAATACGTCTGTTTTTTCTTTATTTTCTCTATTAATATTCTTGGTTATTTTAGTTTTATCGACTTGTAGACTACGTGGCCCAATGGAGCTTAAAATTACTGGTAAAAGAAGGAGACCGTGCCAGACGCCAAAGAAAATAACGAGGAAAAAAATCTTGAAGAATGTACGGAAAACGTATGCTTCTGAAAATGCTAGAAGCGATTGAGCAAGTAATGTTGAACCAGCACCATAAAGTACCGCTGCACCAATATGTCTTACAGCAATTAATGCTCTTTCAGTACGATTATTTTCATCGCCCTCGGCATCATTAAGTGATTTACTGTTTAAAAACGCGTGGGCTACGTGAGCTGCGTAATCAACACTCAAGCCCACTGCTAATTCAAGCCCTGTAATTTATAATTATCAATTAATTTCTTCTATTCTACTTCTACTTTTTTTTTTTCATTTTAATTTTCAACTTTTAATTTACAAAGCTATTTGAATTATTCAATTAAATTTACCGTCAAAGGTTATCGTTAAATTAATTAACAAATGGGATAATTATAAATAATATTTACCTATACAGGAAACGATGTCGACAGATAATCCCCAGTAGTACATAAATCCACAAATGTCAACAAGTGTTAAGCTAACGCACAAAAGTATCCAAATACACGTCTGTGGTTCAGCAATCAACAGTGCTGTTGTACCCATTACACAAATAAGCGCAAGCATTATATTTCGCGTTACTTCATGGGCAATTACTTTATCTGTTACCCATGTTGCAAATATTTTGCTCCATACTGTAGCGTATTTGCTAAAATTCATTTCTTTTACTGCTAATTTAACATTATCCATCGCTGGTATCCATTCATCTGGTCCAGTGAACTTTTGAAATGTAAAACTTATACTGGAAAGCGTAATTTTTGGTGCATTTTTACCACATGTCAGCGTGTCATTGAAGCGGAAATTTTTTTGGTAACGACCTCCGCTTCGGCTAAATAAAAACTTTGACAGATAAAAATTAAAGTCATGGATTTTAACTGTTTTATTATTTATTAAATCTGAAAATAATTTTAAATAACGTTAATTAATAATATTTATAAATATTTTATCGTTGAATTTACCTTGATTATAATAAAGTTTAATAAAATCAACGAAATCATGTGGCCAAGATTCAACACTATTAATAATTGTTGTCATGTTATTTAATCTTTCGGTTACAGCTATTAATTTTGGAAATTCATTAAGATAATCAATATCAGATATATAAATATCCGCTGGATTACCACGATTTGGGAATTGTTGATCGTTAATACTAATATAATTACTGAGATAAGATCCTTTAGGTAAAAACCAATTGGGATCAAACCACTGTTTCAAATGATAAGCACCGATGGCCCCCACTACAGTCACTGCAGCAGTTATTATTAATACCACTATTTTTCCTGATAATGTTAATACTATTTTGGAGTAAAGCCAATTGAATATACGCCATGATAATGTTTTGGTTGGATCAACTTGTAATGGTCGATGATTTTTATGTACTATACACGGTATCAGTCCATTACGTTTACTCTCAATTCGTTTTACGTCAAGCGTAAATGCTGCTACGAAAAATGTAACTTGTAACAAAAAAGTTATCAGAACACCAACTGCTGCGTAGATACAAAATGATTCTAATGAAGGAAGAATCTGAAAAAAAAAAAAAAAAAAAAATTGTTTATTTTATTTCAAATTAATTAAGGAGGGGAACACCCTGAAACGAGTCGAAAAAAAATAGGTGACTTTAAAGAAATTTATACTCAAGTGTAATATAAATATTTAATATATTAACTCACTTCAAAATGTCCTTGTGCATTTTAATGCAAACTACCAAAGACTTGATGGAATTATCTTCTTCTTTTGTTCTAGATGTCAAGTTCTTCAAGCGCTCTCTGGAATTATTTTTATCATTGTCCCTCTTTGAGGTAATGCTGAGTTAAAATTAAGGGGGAACACTACTGTGACGATCGAAAAAAAGAGGTGATTTTTGGGAATTTTTTTGACAGGGAAAATAAAGGAATTTGGGAATCGGATTTTTTTTTATTTTATTAAGGGTACATTAAAGATTATTATTCTAAATTTTTATTAAAAAATATTTAATTATTACAAAATTATTAACAATCTCGTACTAGAGCACTAGAAAAAATTTTCCCCTCCATGGTCGGTTCGATAACTCAAAAACGGATCATCTGAAAATGAAAATTCAAATTGCTTTTTAATCAGTAAGGACGTAGTTATCGTCGCACGTACGGAATTTTGAAAATTTTAATTAAAAAAAAAATGGCGACTGATTGAAAATTTTCTCACTATTCTTTCTGTTTTTTTTTTTTGTTTTAATCCGGCTAAAAAAATCTTTAAAATAAAAATTTTTCAAATTCCGTATGTGCAACGATAACTACATCCTTACTGATTAAAAAGCAATTTGGATTTTTATTTTCAGATGATCTGTTTTTGAGTTATCGAACCGACCGTGGAGGGGGGAAATTTTCTCCAGTGCTCGACAAGATTGTTAATAACTTTGTAATACTTAAATATTTTTTAATAAAAATTTAGGGTAATTATCTTTAATGTACCCTTAATAAAATTAAAAAAAAAACCCGATTCCCAAATTCTTTTATTTTCCCTGTCAAAAAAATTCCCAAAAATCACCTCTTTTTTTCGATCGTCACAGTGGTGTCCCCCCTTAAACTAAATATCGAATTAATTGAAAATAAAATAATTCTGTATGAATTATAAATTTATATATTACCGTAGATGCACCGATAATAAAAGCAACGACATCAGTTAAAGATGTGATTGAAATAGCAGCACCAGCTTGACTTAACATACGGCCAATCCGTTCTTCTATCGGCTTACCCTGATTTGATTGATGAGATAATACTTCTTCCCAAGATGCCATCATTACAAATATATCATCTACCCCTAGACCCATGAGCATGAAAGGCAGTGAAGAGTGTACGGGTCCATAAGGAACACCGAATAGAGAGCAGAGTCCAACTGCGACAATAAAAGCTCCTCCAACACACAGCAGTCCAGCGCTCGTTAGATAAAACTAATTATAAAAAATCTTTAATTATTCAATTATCAATTATTGATTATTGATTTTGCAATTAATTACTGAAAATAAAAACTTACACGCCACTTTAACCAATTGAAACGTGACAAAATAATTTGAACGTACAGAGTCATTAATATTATTCCTATAATAATTTTTTTAATATCCTGGAACATTGTCGACGCGCTAATGTCACCAAAACTACGACCTGCTTCGTACCATATCTTTATTGATGAATTTTCATTTTTTAGATGCTCAGAACTTGAGTGGAGCTGATTTAAAAATGATTTTTCCCAATTTAATACATCAACTGTTGCCTGGAAATGTTAATTATTGATTAACCAATACTAATTGATTAATGAATATTTAAAATTAAAGTGTGCTTTATCACATTTTATAATTAATGTTAATCATTAATTGTTTGATTTTAACCAAAATGGTAATTAACGGTGAAATAATAATGAAATTAAAGCAGTAAATGTCATTAAGCTTGATGCATTATTAAAAACTTACCGTACCCAATCAGAAGTTCCAACATCATTGCCTGCATCATTCATATTTATTTTTTTAAAATCTACGTGCAACATCCAGTGAGTCTTGAGAGCTTTGGCGCTTACAATTTTACCCGCGTCATCGATGACAACTCCGCCTAATAATTCAGTAAAATTCATTGGGTGTCCCAAAGTTGGACTTATTTTAATAGAATTTATTTTCGTAATAATATCAGCTTTGGTTTGGTTTAATATCAAATGAGAATTATACTCCCATAAATCGAGAATGCTAAATATAAGACAGCCAGTCGGTAAATTATTTAAAATATCGCAGTATATTTTAGTCGGAGCATGAACTGATGGATCGAAGTTTATTTTGTCTGAATGTGCTGCTGGTTCTTCTTCGAAAAAATCGTCGTTTCTTATGTCACGCTTTCTGCGATTCGTATATCCGGATATTATTGGAATCCTGAATTTAATGTTTAATTTATGACACAGATATTTAAAGGGATGTAATAAAAGTTGCTTATCAAGAAATATTCAGAGAAATTGATTTCGTTGGGTATTTTTTATGTTCATTATTTTTAACAAAAAATAAATATAATTATTTTAATTTGAAAAAAATTTTAGTTTTTTTTTATTCTTAACATCAATATAGTTATATTCTAATCTGTTAAAAGGATGCAACTTTCAAGTCAACAAATAAATTTCATAAAAAAATTAATGAAATAAGGTAAAAGCCCCAATAGATTATCATGTACAAGTACATGATCACTCCATGTATTTGTATACCTATATTTGTGAATATAGATATGTGTGATTCTCTGTAAAGATGTTTTTTGCTGTCCCAGGCAATTTTTTATTAGAAAAATTGTTATTTTGTTACTAAAAAAAATTTATTATAAAAGTAAAAAAACATTTCTATTTGGAGCATTGAAAACTAAAATGAAATAAATTTAGATTTTTTTGCTATAAATTCGTAAACCATCGAAATAACAGTCCCCTGGGCTGTCCCATTCCCAAAATTATAACTTTAAGATTAAATTTTAAGTTATTCGTCCGTAATATATAATTTGCTCCATAATGTTTATAAACTTAATTAGTTAACTAATAATCTTCTTCAATAAAAAGTACTGAAAATTAATTTGTTTCATTAAATTCATTAAACCAAAGTTTGTCCCAGGCATTTTAAAAACAGTCCCCTGCCAGAAGTTTAAAGCCAAAAAAAAATCCAGCGTGTTATTTTACCTTTTGTAAGGTTTATAAGGATCTAACTAGCCTTGAGTTAATAACATTAAGGCTGTTAGGGCTTTATCGCCATTTTATTTAGTGTCAAAGCACCGTTTGTGCTGGAAATATGTGTCTGGGCCACTTCAAAACTCAGTCCCCTGGCAACTATTTTTATTTATAATTTATTTATAAAATTGGATCCATAAGTCTTAATATTATTATAATTAATGTAAACATTCATTGAGAACTTGAAAAGTTGAATGAATTGAAATAGTTTGCTTGATTTTTCTCAATTTGATAAAAAAAAAAAAACAGTCCCCTGTCATGTTATATGGCAAAAGATACACAAATATCGAAAAAGCAAAAATTAAATCAGCTGTTTATTTATTATGATTTAGCTGATAGTTTTGTAGCCCTTGTTAATTTTTTTTTTTAAATAAAATCAAAAATAATTTGGTCGGACAATTTTATACAGATTTAAGACGTCCTTACAGAGAATCACCCACAGACAAATACATGGAGTGATGATATACTGGTTCATATACATGATCATCTATTGGGGCTTTTACCTTATACTTATTAAGATATTGATTCTAAAATGGATAAAATACTCACTTAAAACATACATCAGTCCAGTAGAGTTTAGGTTGACTATCAGTTGCCATAGCAAAAATACGTTTTATTATTTCATTCATTTCAACTAAAACATGAGGTTGCAAAACATCGTCAGCAGTCATGATAACAGTTTCAACACGCTGTCCTTTATCAAAACTTTCCATTAACCATTCTGTGTCTTTCACAAAATCTGAATCAGGTGGTATCCATAATTTTAGTGGATTTTTTTCTTGACGAAAACGGTACAAGCCACCCAAACACAGCAAAACTACTATTGAAGATCCTATTATCCATGTTATTGGTTGCCTTGCTATGTTTACTCCTAAACTACACGATTATCAATTAAGTAAATAAAATAGTAAATTAATTAAACTAAACTTACCTGTAGAAAAAATGTTCAACAGTTGCAGCAATATATTGGGGTATACGTCTCAGTGAACGACGGATGGATTTACGCTTGACTACAGATTCTTGAGTAACGTCCATTGCTTTATAAATATAACTTTTGTAATGTTCAGCTAGAGTCTGTATTAATCTAGATGTAAATTAAAATTTTTTAATGACAATCTCTTATAATTAACAACTTTAAATTATGAGTCAGTTATTTATTCAACTGCTATTGATATTTAACTTTTGTTTACGCGAAATTGGCATGTTTTATATCACTCCGTATATCATCAACTGTACATACAAACTTGCGTTTTGTATTTTCTGCAAAGTTTATTTTATGTAAAGTTGTTTATAGTTAAAATATAATTTATTATTAAGACATTGAAATTAATTTTTAATAAAAATATTTACTTAATACAAACAAAATATTTAAAGTATAAAAACTTAATACTTTCTGTGATATTTTTTTTAATATAATTAAAAATTTTAATAACTCATATTATAACTGGACAATTATTACAAGAACCTTTGGACCAAGATTTCTCATCTTGATAATAAATTAAGAGGTCCAATGACGCTCATATTATATGAAATATGCATAATAATAAGATTATCAGATCATCTGGTATCACATTTCACATTCTTGATACTTAGCTGAAAAATAACAAATTAATTATTGATACTGAAATTTAAAATTAAAATATTTATAAATTAATATTGTTAGTAATTAATCTAATTGACATGTTTATTGGCTGATTGTCTGATTCGAGTGACAAATGACAACATAACCTCAATTTTTGTTGTTGTTTCGCGAATTATTTTTCAGCAAGCAGGTTATATACTGTTACTGATTGGAATACATGAAAAATTGAATTTATAATCTCAGAGTTGATAGTAAAAAGTACGAAAAAGGTATTACTAATAAATTTGTCCTTGAATAGACGGTTAATTTTAGATTTTAAATAATTACTTGTGACGTTTGACGTTGTTGAACTAGTTTAAATTTTCGCGGCAAAATAAAATTGCGCGCGCAGCTATGATTTTTTACGGCAAATGTTTAAAACGATAAAATATAATTAATATCAATACGTAAAAAAAAAATTACTAAATTAAATAAAAATTTGTGTAATATTTTTTTACCAAAGTACAATTAATAAAAATTATTAAAAAAAAAAAAACATTAATTCTTAACTTTGAGATTTTTTCTGTTCAAAAAAACCGCGCAAAATGATTTCGGATAAGTTCGTAAACGACGAAAACACAAGGACGAATTTTGATTATGAAAAGATGCAACCAGTGACGTTACCCATCATTTAAAAAATATGAATCCCTTCGATGTGTTAGTTGTATTGATTAACATTTTTAATAGTATAAAAACCTATTTTCAGGTATAAAAGCATGCGAGAAATATTGAACTCTGACACTAATTTTTTTTTAACTAGACGACCCGTATCACCTACATATATTTGCGAAAAGTATGGTCAAAACTTGATACAAAATTTTTAGTTATATTAAATGCAACACAGTTATACCCTTAATCTATCTTTGCTGGGATTTCAAAATTTCAAAATTTGGCCGAACAAAACTCCTGTTAAAAAATTCTATAAAAATCAAATAAATCCTTTACGCTCAAAATATATATAAAAGCGGAACTCAAAATTCCAATTTTAAGAGGTCCATCAAGGAAGTTACATTTTGGCACACCCTAAGGAACATTTTGTATCGGAAAACGAAATTGTCATTGTTAGTATTTTCTGTTACTTATTATATATGTTTCTCACCGTTTAAACCTTCCCTGAACTTCCAAAAATATTTCAAGATCAAAATTAGCCAAATAGGTCCAGCCATTCTTGAGTTTTAGCAAGACAAACGAACAGCAATTGATTTTTATTTATGTATATAGAATATAGATTAATAAAAAGGTTTTAATTTCTTAACGAGAAGTTTAAAAATCAGTATTACGATTGATTAGATCAAAAGCGATAACTTTTTAATTTTTGACAACATTAATGAGAAAAAAAAAACAATTATTATAATTAAGCTAACACAAGTGTACAAATACACATAATTTGTCAATAAATCACGGCATTTCAAGAACAATCATAAATTACTCAAGTATTAACAAACATCTTATCGATAATCATTGTCATCACATCAGTTATAATAATTAATAGCTTTATTATAAATATGTATTTATATGCACTAGAACAATCTATTTTAAATAAAAAATAATACTAAACATTCAGATATTTGTTTCTATGTACCTTTTTTAATCTATAGATTTATACTATAGAGATAGAATCATCAATAACTTTAATTTACTTCGATCAAACAGATCGAAATGTTTAACAACTTTTGCACTTGACCCAATTAATTAGAATTGAATTCAGTTTCACATATAAAAACAATTCACCGCAAAAAATATTTGTAATCTGTTTACAGCTCAGGACTTTTTACGCATTGTTATAATTTTTTTGTTAGTAAAAATGGATTCAAATATTTTTAAATTTATACTGTAAGAGTGTTCTTTTTTCAAATTATCTTAGTCGAAGTATTGAACTTACGAAAACTTAATCGATTTTAATTGAAAATTACTATAACTTATTTTATAATATAACTTACTTTTCTTATTTCTCAGTATTACTGTCTTATTATTTTATATCCATTACTGTTTAACTAATTTTATTATTACTATGTATATATTTCTATGTAAGGCCCTTAGGGAGCTAAGGCTTCAGGGTCTAAAAATTTGGTAAATAAATAAATAACTTAAAAAACTTGAATAATTTAATAATTGTTAACTTTTGTCGAGATTAATTGTATATATTAAAAATAATAGAGTGAATTTCGATAAAATCAAGTTTACGTCAGTTCAATATGAGTTTATTTTTTCGACTAAGACCAAAAAATTTTTTTTACAGCTTCTGTGGTATGATTTGTGCGATATTTGATTTACAAGTAGTTTCATATTCGATAAAAAATAATAACGCCCAAATTTGTAAAAGTGAAAGATGTAAAAAAACAGGTAAAAATTGAATAAAATATAAATCAAAGTTAATAGTTAATATTTTTACTGATACTTTTAAAATTAATTAATTAGCTGATGAAATTATAAGTGCCATGAACCAAACAATGGACCCGTGTGAAAACTTTTTTAAATACGCATGTGGTAATTGGCATAGTGGTATGTCACATAAGAGTCATTTTCATATTTTAAATAATAGAACTAATCTTCGTGTAAAAGGTACATTAATTTTTTAGTACTTAAATATTTTTATTGATTTAAACTAGTTATTAAATGATATTTACATTGTAAATAGAAATATTTGAATCTCCTTGGACACCGCAAGATAGCTCGGCATTGACCAAAGCCAAAAAAATTTATAAAGCTTGTATGGATGAAGGTAATTTAATTTCTTTTACTATTTGATAGTTGTTTTAAATCAATAAGTATAATTTATATTTATGTGAAAAATAAAATAGATTCTATTGAAAAAAGAGGAGTGAGGGATCTCGTAAACTTAATTGATGGAATAAGTGGCTGGCCAATCGCAATGACTCTATCTGAATGGTCTTACAAGAACAAATCATGGCAAGAAGTCGACAAAAGTTTTAGAGAATTAATAGGAAATTCTCCATTGTTTAGTTTAAAAGTTATGGAGGACGTTAAAAATTCAACGAATCATATTATACAGGTATGAATGCTTAATTAAATGAACTATATGTGCTAAGCGTTTAAGCCAAAAAAGTATCATCGACAAATATGTACACGGAAAGAAAAATATGGGAACTATTCACGGAAAAAAAAATTGGGGCAGCCACATGATTTTCATGTTGTAGGCAATAATAGTTCAAACAATAATAATAATTAAATAATAATAATCTATATTATTAAGAGAATAAGGAAAATTTTGTGGCCAGTGTATTAATGTGATAAAATGGGTTTTTGCTTGGAGTTGTGCCTTTTCAAGGTTTCATATCATTCTCACCAATAGTCAATTCATTATGATAAGAACTTAGGTTGCATTCGAAAATGCTCTGTGTCTAGATAATACATAATGAAGAAATGACTTTGTATCTGGTAAACTATTGACATTTTTGAAGATATAAGCTCATCCCGATGTTATACTTATCAAGAGCTTTCATTTGAGTACCCACATGCATTTTTTATATATTTTTCATATATACATATATGGGGCATTCCACGACAAATCAACCACTTTTGACCCTGACCCCTTTTGATTTGGCTGAAAGTTTACCATCCTTTTCTACCCTATCAAAAACGTCTCTCATAATTTTTTCAAATTTTTTTACCCAACCAAAAAAAAGTTCCGAATTTTTCAAAAAAACCGCTTTTTTATTTTTAAATTGCCATAACTTTTTCAAAAATTGGCTTATCGGGACGTTTTTTTTTCAAAATTTTTGTTATTAAATGTTCTTTTTGGAAAAAAATATAAAAAAATTCTTTAAAGCTATCTTAAATCATCAGCTATCGATTTTAAATCAAAGAAAAAATTGAAAAACAATTGTTTTTTTTATTTAATGCTTAATGAATGGTGGACGTTGAAATGAACAATTCTCCGATACTCTAAGTTTTATAATTAAAACGGTTTTGTCAAATGGTTTAATACATGACTATAATGTCTGAAATGCAATAATTCTTAAACTAATAAAAACATTTTCCTTAGCTAAGCAAAAAATTACGCTTCACGTAATAATTATCCGTAACTTCTATTCTTTCCCGCTTCACAGCATTATTTATATTTGTTAAAAAATGTGAGAATACCAAGAAAATACCACTAAGAATACCAAATGGTATTCATCAAAAAATTCGGATTTTTTCCTATAAATTTTAAAAATAACGATGAAGATAGCTTTGAATAATTTTTTTATATTTTTTTCCAAAAAGAGCATTTAATAACAAAAATTTTGAAAAAAAAAACGTCCCGATAAGCCAATTTTTGAAAAAGTTATGGCAATTTAAAAATAAAAAAGCGGTTTTTTTGAAAAATTCGGAACTTTTTTTTGGTTGGGTAAAAAAATTTGAAAAAATTATGAGAGACGTTTTTGATAGGGTAGAAAAGGATGGTAAACTTTCAGCCAAATCAAAAGGGGTCAGGGTCAAAAGTGGTCGATTTGGCGTGTAATGCCCCATATATATAATATACATAAATATATAAAATATATGAAAAATTGATGTGGGTACTCAAATGAAAGGTCTCGATGAGTGTAATGTCGGGATGAGTTTATATCTTTAAAAATGTCAATAATTCACAAGATACAAGGTCATTTCTTAATTATTGATATTTTTAAAAATATAAGCTCGTATTAATGTTACACTCATCAAGAGCTTTTATTTGAGTACCCACATGCATTTTTGATATATTTTTCATATATACATATATATAATATATATAAATATATAAAATATATGAAAAATTGATGTGGGTACTCAAATGAAAGGTCTCGATGAGTGTAACATCAATATGAGATTATATCGTTAAAAATGTCAATAGTTTACAAGATACAAGGTCATTCCTCAATTATATGTTTAGAGATAGAGCATTTCCGAATGCAACCTAAATATCTATTATAAATTGAATATCATCATAAATTAACTAACTAAGAGAATGATATGAAACCTTGAAAAGGCACAAATTCATGACAAGTCCTTTGCAATGACACTAAATTTCACTAATAAATCGATATCATCATGTGACTATCCAAGAGACAAAGTTGTTCTTATTCTCTTAATGATATAAATTATTATTATGATTATTATTTAATCATTATTGTCGTTTTAACTGTTATTGCCTGCCACATGAAAATCATGTTGCTGTCATATGAAAGTCATGTATCTTCCACAGGAATGTATCATGCGGCAGCCCCAATTTTTTTTTTTCTATCTAGGATTTAAACCTTTATGGTGTGGGAACCATTCCTATATTATTATGGGATTAGTTCCCATAATGATATAGGAATAGTTTCTATAATAGTATAGGAATGATTCCTATAGCATTATGGGAACCATTCCCATAATGGTATAAGAATAGTTCCCATAATTTTCTTTCCGTGTACATTCTTCTTTTATGTTTTTAACTTTCCGCTTTGAAAATTAATAATTTTGAAGTTATTGATTTCAGTCCGATTCTTTCTGCACGATTTTTTTTTGCAATTTTTTGAGCTTAGAATCAGTATCAATACAAAAAAATTTTCTTATTATTTATTCTCTTGTAGTTTTAATCTTCTTATTTACCAAATTTTAATAATTTTACTTTAAATATTTAATATTGTATTATTTCAGCTTTCACCACCTCTAGACGGTATCGCTGAATACATAAGTCGTCAAGCAGCAGCATTGTTTCCATTAAATGTAATATTAAATTTACCAAATGTTATGAATTACCAAAATATTGTTGCAAACGTCGGTAGAATATTTGCCAGCAATAGAGGTGTTATCATACAAGAAAGAGACATCGAAGAGGATGCTAAAGATATTGTTAATTTTGAGTGGAATTTGAAACTCGTAAGATTTTGAAAAATTAACTAATAAAAAAATCATGTGCTTATTATTTGTCAATCATTGTTTTAAAAAATATTTAAATAATCAGATTATATTATCATCATCCTCCAACTCATCAAACGGTGAAGTTGATTCTATTTATCAAAAAATGATGATCAGTGATTTCCAAAAATTCTATGAGTCATCGGTGCCTGAGAATTCTACTACACGCGTAATATTTTTTTTTCTTTTGATATTCAAGATTAATGAAACTTTTTTCTAATTGAAGTTTTTTTTACAGATCAACTGGTATGACTTGATAGCAAATCTCTTTGTTGGAGTGCCTGGCGTGACTATTAAACAATCAGAAGTTGTTGTAATAATAAATAAAGATTACTTTGTTAACTTAGCTGATCTTATTAGGCGAACTCCGGTCAGAGTTGTTGGTAATTATTGATTGATAATTATAATTATGTTATTAAATAATTATTGTATTCCTGATTAAAATTAATGATTCAATTTTTTAACTGTAGTAAATACAATGCATTGGTGGTTAATAAGAAGCTTTGGTTTTTTCACAAATCAACAAATGAATAATCTCATTAAAGACGTCTTACCAGGAGGATTGACGTCTGTTTCAAATAAAAATTCAAAATTAACTCCTAGATGGTTAATTTGTACTCGACAAAACGAAATGATGCATGCTTTTTCTTATGCTTATGTACAAAAACATTTACCAAAACGTTCACAAGAAGTGGTAAGTTTATATTAAGAGGGCGGGGGGGGGGTAAGGTTAATTCGTACAAAAAAAAGGCATGTTTTTGTGATTTTTTTTGTGACGACACAGTTAAAATCTCTTTATTAAATTAATGGTACAGTAAAATATGACATTAGAAAAATATTATATAAAATCTTCATAAAGAAATATTAAAAAATACGGCAATGGCAGCAATTATTCGGACGTGTCTCGGAAAAAAAGTAGAATTACGGTGCCCCTCATAACTTGGTGCTGGATCATCTGAAATCACAAAATGAAAGTTCATTCGTTAGTTAAAAGTTTTCCCCAGGTAATGCTGGGAGGGTTTTTCGAAATTTCAATTTTTCACTTTTTTGGAACACTTTGAAGGCTCAAATTAGCCGATTTCTTTTCGTAAAAATCGCGTTTTTCCATTCAAAGTGTTTCAAAAAAGTGAAAAATTGAAATTTTGAAAAACTCCCTCCAGCGTTATCTGGGGAAAACTATTAACTAACGAATGAACTTTAATTTTTTGATTTCAGATGATTCAGCACCAAGTTATGAGGGGCACTTAAAAGTTTTCCCCAGGTAATGCTGGGAGGGTTTTTCGAAATTTCAATTTTTCACTTTTTTGGAACACTTTGAAGGCTCAAATTAGCCGATTTCTTTTCGTAAAAATCGCGTTTTTCCATTCAAAGTGTTTCAAAAAAGTGAAAAATTGAAATTTTGAAAAACTCCCTCCAGCGTTATCTGGGGAAAACTATTAACTAACGAATGAACTTTAATTTTTTGATTTCAGATGATTCAGCACCAAGTTATGAGGGGCACCGTAATTCTACTTTTTTTCCGAGATACGTCCGAATAATTGCTGCCATTGCCGTATTTTTATATAATATTCTTCGAATGTCATATTTTACTGTATCATTAATTTTAATAAAGAGATTTTAACTGCGTCGTCTCAAAATATCACAAAAACATGCCTTTTTTTGTACGAACTAACCCCCCTCCCCCCTTAATATTAAAATAATTATTAAAGTCAAATTTTAAATTAATAATTTTTCTTGAATTTTAAAAAATTGCAGGCTGCAGAAATGATCCATGAAATAATAAACGGAATGAGAGAAGAAATAGAAAATAGCAAATGGTTAGATGATTATTCAAAAAGAGGAGCTTTAGAAAAAGTTCAAGCTATGCGAGAATTCATCGGATTCCCCCGTTGGTACAATGATATCAATTCTGTTGATAATTATTACAAAAGTGTTGTACCAAGCAAATTTTACTTTAGAAATGTATTGATGATGTTAAAATTCAGGGCGAAAGAAGAATTGAAGTTGTTACGAGAACGCGTCAGTGACCAAATGTATGTAAAATAATGATTTTTTGTTTTTATTTTTACTGAAACATATTTTAATAAAATTATTTGCAGATGGATTGGAAGTCCAATTGATATCAACGCATTTTATTATTACCCATCTAATGCAATAAGTACAATTAATATATAAATTATAGCACTATGAAGTAGCGTGTTGATTATTTTTTAATAAAGTTAATGATTAAATTTTTTTTTCAGCTATACCAGCAGGAATTTTGCAAGTTCCGTTCTTTGAAGACGAGCATCCCGAGTTAGTATTAAATTTTTTTAATAATATACAACTCATTTATTGAGATAAATTAATATCGATATAGACAAAATGTTGAAGATGATTAATGTCAACCTAATAAGATTAAATTATCTTTATTAACTATAATAAATACATAAAATAATTATTTTTTCAGTGCTCTCAATTACGGTGCTCTTGGTTCAATAATAGGCCACGAAATTTCACACGGATTTGACGATGTAGGTCGTCAATTTGATAAAAATGGTAACATACGTAATTGGTGGTCAAATGCAACAATATCCGAGTACAGAAAACGTGCTCAATGTTTTATTGATAAATTTAATAACATGAGTATTACGTACAATAATACAATTTACAGGGTATGTATATAATTTAATACATTTGTTAACCAATCAAAATTGTTTTGAATTATTTGATGCATTATTAAAGGTAAATTCACGAAAAACATTGTCGGAAAATATTGCGGATTCAACGGGTGTAAAAGCTGTCTTTGAGGCTTTTAAAGTTCATAATAAAAAATCCTCAACACCAGATGTTAAGCTACCTGGTCTTGAACATCTCAATGAAAATGAACTTTTTTTCTTATCTTATACACACGTAAATATACTGCAGAATATGTATCTAACTACTTTTATATTTTATTTTAATTGTGAATTTATTTTATTTTAGTCTTTCTGCTCGAATTTACCTATAAATTCATTAATGTACCAACTGAGAAATGATAATCATAGTCCAGCAGCGGTTAGAATAGAAGGTACGCTCTCAAATATTGAAGGATTTGCAGAAACATACAATTGTCCTCTAGGAAGCAGAATGAATCCTCATGACAAGTGTAGTATCTGGTAGTTTAATTACCCCACTGTTATATTTATTTATGTATATATTGATATATTATTTATTTATTTAATTTCACTATATTATGATCAACTTAGATTTATGTAGATCAACTTTCATCTTTTGATTTAAAATTTATCTCAGTAGATCTAAAAAATGATAAAATTATATTTATGTAAATCTTGATAATATAATCCCCAGAACTTAATTGATTTATTTATTTATTTATTAGAATAAACGCCAATCGGCAATGTACATAAATTATTTAGTACTAAGGATTATTATTAATGATTTGACGGCTATTAAATATGTAATAATAAATTATTGAAATTCTTACGATTATATATATAAGTTCTAGCTAGTTAATATTAATTCCTTGACTTAGGAGATGAATCTTGAGACTGAGTCCATGAAGAAATCGATGTCTGAGCTATATTTATTGACTAGACTTGATATTCTGTTTTTAGATCCATGATAGAAATAGTTTTTTGATGTTATCGTGCTATTTAGTAGTCTAGTATATCTAAAGCCTGATCTAGGTTTAATCAGCTCGTATTGGTTGCGTATTTCTGGAGATTCGTAAGATCTGCAACAATACGACGGTTTTTCAAACTGTCCAGCTTGAAATGATTATATACCTCTTCTGTACTTAAGTGGACACTTTTTGTGTACATGATACTGACCAAATGATACTGCAGTATTCGAGGATCGGGCGAACCAATGTTTTAAAAAGGTATATTAACGTATTGGGATCTTTAAATTCTTTGCCTGATCTAATTATGAAACCCAGTATCTTGTACGCATGAGACGTTATTTTGTCAACATGCTTTATGAAGTTCAGCTTGCTGTCCACTATTATTCCTAGGTCTTTCACGAGAGACACTTCAGTAAATAGAGGATTATTGAGATAGTAGATTGCCTGAGGCTGATTGGAGACTCTAGATAGACTTAGGACCACGCATTTGTTGTTATTCAGGATCAGTTTGTTTAGCACACACCATCTATGAAGCGTATCGATATCACGTTGGAGAATATCGATGTCATCTTCGCTGTTAATTTGTCTAAAGATTTTTAAGTCGTCTGCATATAACAGATATTTGGATTCAAATTGTTCATCAATATCATTAATAAATAAATAAGTATTTTTGTAAATACTTTACATATTACTTTTGTGTAGATATTATCTTTAGTATAAGTATGTATCATTTTTAAATGTACAAAAATTTTTATTATTTTTAAAAAATATACAAAACTTTTTATTAATTAACAGAGACAAGTTTTTAATTATTTTAGAATAAGTAAATAAAAATATATAATAACTATTTTCATCCAAAAAGAAAGACTGGAAAAAATAATGAATTATGAACGATAAAGATATTTATTGATCAAGTCTTTTAAAATTGTTTCTTTTCTTTTTCTTCTTTGCACTTGGAGGATTCCTCGTTGAGTTTTAAAATCGGTGTATTTATTTGGTTTTGGATAAAAAATTTTGTCAGGAAAGAAGTAGCGGCAAGAGGCGTTAAATGAAAAGAATTAAGTGAGAAACAAAGTAAACGGAAATAAATGATTAAAAAAACTACTTTCAAACTTAATTAATTTTTTTTTTAATAAATAAAAAAGACCAATTAACCGTATCGTTAGTAATGATTTATTTCTAATGAATAATCACATTAAATATTAATGAATATTACTAAACAAAAAAAAAAACAATCATAATTGAGCATACACGTGTGTACATAATTATAAAATAAACATACATTTATTCATGAATAAATCGCCTAATTTATTAATTTACCTAGGGACATGAATTAAAAAAATGAACAAGTATCCGATCCAGCCCATTGTTAATTAATAGTATTATTTTTTTTTAATTTAATAAGTAGCTTTTTTATGAACATTGATTCTTAATAATTATTAAATGTTATTAATTAGTAAAAAAAAAAAAAATTCAAGTTAATAACTGATTAACTGAAATTGTATTTTAAAATGTCTAAATTACTTCAAGGATCATCCAAGTGATTATGCACTTAATTATTAAAAAATCTTATTTCTGACATAATACTTACAAGAATTTAAAAAGTACACTTATAACCGACATCATTTTAAATTTCAATCTAATTATGTTTACTAATTAAATAATAAATAATGACTTCATAAATTATTGATTTTTAAATAGTATGAATGTGAAAAAATATTACCGATTAAAAAACTGTAAATCTAACTATTCATTTGAAAATAAAATGAGTTAAAAAATTTATTGAATTAAGTAAAATGAGAATAATGAACGATAACATTAAAAATAACCGGCTCGGATCGGCATTCTGAGGTATATTTATCATATTTGAGTGAAAAAATTCAGTCATTTGGGTATTAGTATTTTATTATTGTATTAAAAAAAAGCACCCATGCATAAATCATCCATACACACGCATACAGAACAGAAAAAAATTTATGGAAGATATTTCGTATATGTACATTTTCATTTTTTTTTCTCATCGGACTATACATACATTCATTTGTAATTCTATCATTCACCTTTTTATTTTAATTTTTTTCACCTATTTATTCATTATCATATAAATAATAATTTTTTTTTAATTATTAATAGCACTCGTGGAATGCTTGTTACCCAAGTGGCTGTTAAAAGTACCGCAAGATTTATAAAACTAATAATTTATTATAAGAGTGTTAAATAATTAATTACTGTAATTGAAGTATACCAATTAAATAAACACACAAAAACTTATTTAAAGTACATTAAGCAGGACAACAAATGGATAAAAAAAAATTATTTTTAAATTACATAAAGTAACGTAAAAATGGCAAAAAGAATCAAATGGCAAGTTTGTGCGAACACGACATGAATAATAATTTAAAAAAGAAAAGTATTTAAAAATTAAAATATCTTAAATGCTATTATATGTAAATGGGCAAAAGTGATGATTTTGAGACCAGGGTGCCGTAGTTGTATTTACAAATTATTTTTCGACACTTGGTTGTACGTCAATACCATTCGATTCGTTGCAATCATTAAGCTAATTTATGTTTATTATGCAATAGGCAATTGTATCTTAGTCTACATTAAATAAAACCTCGCTATTTAAATAAAAGTTATTTCGATTTAGCCAATCCGAGAGAACAAAATAAAAATTCACATTTTTAAATAATTTAATTAAACTTGTTTACAAATAAATTGGACAGTGCACGCTGTATGCAATAAATACATTAATAAAGCGACAGGTACTGCCACACAGTAATTCTTTAAACTGTTATCATTTTTAAAAATACGTTTTATCAATGGATTGGATTAAATTATTACTGCTTGCACTGTTTACATAATAACTCGCTTGATTTAAATTAATTATTATCATAACATGTTCGTGATTCTTTTTTACAAGCTTTCGAAATATTTTTTAGACTATATAAAACCGATAAATAATGATTATAAGTTTATTAAAAAAAAAAAAAAAAAAAAAAAAAAAAAAAAAAATCAATTTACGTCAAGTAATTTTATATTTAAATAAACTTTATTGAGAGTATGAATTATAAAAAAAATTATCATAGTTTTTTTTTTATAGTTTAAAAAATATTTACAGCTTTAAATAAATGCACAAAACATACTAGTTAGCGCTAAAAGTATTACAAATCTTATTAATAATTAAAATACCGACACTTGATTAAAAAAATCTACATTGTCTATGTAAACGCTCAGATAAGATTTAATACTCTAAATAGAGATTAACTAAATACGAGTTCAATGAACTTGAGATTTGATTATAAAAAAATTATAAATCATTAATTGAGGAAAATGAAATTACGCTAAAAAAAAAATCTACCGTAATTTTCGTAACATTCATTAAACGCATATAACAGCATTGTCATTAAAAAATATCGCATCTGTTATTAATTTGATAATTATTATTCCTGGGTACATTTGGCAAGCGTGTTGTTTTTTTTTTTATTTTCCTCTGATTAAATATTTATCATTTTCAGAGATTTTTATAAATGGCTACGAGAAAATAGCGCGAAGTTTTCTCCAACGCAAATCCCATGATAAATTATTATAATAATAATTATTATTATTATCATTATTACTACTATTATTGTTATTATGATTATTGTAAGAATAATAATAATTATTATTATTATAGTTTCTTAATGGAGATGGTAATCCAAAATCGATGGAATTATCAAGAGTTTTATCGATAAATCGCATTCGCGCTTCCTTTAATTTCAAGTCATAATTAATTTCATTTAAATTAGTAGCATGTAATATACGTACAGCTGATGATAATCGTAATTTACTCGTAGGTGAGCTGAAGACTAAACGACGATTTTGACGATTACTTATGGTATTAATATTACCACTATTACATCTGCTGTTGGTGTTTGACTGACGTTGATTGTTGTCCTGCGGTTGTTGTTGATGTTGTTTCAGTTTCCGTGAATATTCCATAATCCGATATAATTTGGCCGTAGATCATTGACGGTACGATTGCGGTGCTATTCCATTACCAGGCGTCACGTAATCACCAATCATCAGACTTGGATTCACCGGATAGTGTGATGTATTGCTGAGTACCAGCGATTGCTGGAAAGTAACACCAAGCTGTAGCCGCGAAAGACACAGACACCAATTTTATTTAGTATATTCTATGTCATTTTTGTAATACCTTGACCGTTATGACTGAGTTACTCTACCGCTTTCATTATTAAAGCATGCTTTTTAATAATAATTAATATTCTGAAATACGATTAATTGCTTTTTACTCAAAATATTATTTTACTATTAAAATTTTGAAATTTTTTTCAAATTATTTTTGGAACGAAATTAAATTCCAAATTAATTTTTGTCAGAAAATTTTTATTTTAAATATTTTAATTTTATCTTACTGTTAATATTTTTTTTTTTTTTTGAAAAAAATTCCTCAAATTTCTCTACCAATATCAAGCAACTAAAACATTATTTTTAAACGTTAAAAATAATATTTATTGAGCACCATCTAATATTTTAAAAATAAAAATAACGATAATTAACGAAAGTAGAAATGAAAACTAATTCTATAATCTAACTAAGTACTTAATGTACAACTAACTACTTCTTAACTTATACTTGTACTTATAACTACAATAAAGATTAATGGAAGCATAAAAAGTGATATTGTAATTACAAAAAAAAGGGATGATGTAAAATAATCTTACAAGCGGACAAGTATCTCGTCATGGATTGATAGCGATTGTACTCGATACTTACAGTTGCCGGTGATGTGAACATATTTGGCGTAATACCGCCACCAATGAGCTGTGCTGCTTGTGTACTTGTAGCCGTTCCTCCGATTCTACCTCTTCCAGTACTTGAAATCGAACCCGGATGTATATTCGGTTGACCGCCTACCAAGCAAATTAAATTTATGTATAATCCAAATATTTTAAAATAACAAAAATCATAATTATAAATTAGAAAGTGGAGGGGATCATAAATAATTATTCATGCAGGATTTAATATACAATAATATAAATGAAATAAATTGAATGGTTAAAATTAAACCAGTAAGTCATCTTCAAAGAGCCGTTTATTGACACGGATTCAGTCTTACAAATTTACAAAATATTATCACAACGGATTTTTTTACTGAAATATTTACAAATTCTTCTGATAATACAGAGTGTCATACGAAAAATATACCTCACAAATTATTATTTTATTTTATTTACTGATAAGTTGAAAAAATAATAAGTATTTGTTAAAAATAATTGTTTACCTTTATTATTTTTAAAAATATATATACGCGATGTTCAGTAAAAAATTAAATTATTATTTTCTTTCTTATTAACATTATTTTTTTATTGTGATATATATGTATAAAAAAAATTAATAAACTAATTTTCATCATCTTAACACATTAAAAGTATGTAATTTAATATAATTATAGTAATAATAATAATAATAATAATAATAATAATAATTGGATAATTAATTTTGAAATATTTGTAAAATTAAATCCTGTTGTCGAAACGATTTTTTTAATATGTATCATTCATTTTAATTATTAAACTTGAACTATGGCATTTCTTAATTAATTTATTTTAGTCATAATTGTTTACAATTTAAATATAATTTTCATCTTGATTTTTATTTTTATTCTTTTTTCAATCAATTGATTAATTAATAAAATACATCGAGTATGAGCACATATACTCGTACTACTATACTTGTTACACAATCATTAAAATATTAAGCGAAAAATAAAAAGTACAATCCATTTGTTAAAACGTTATTTGTATCCTGATTTCAAACTATGGAAATTGACACGTCGATTATTGCAAATAATGCAAATAAATTGATATTTTTATTTATTTTTTACACTAGATTGAAGCCGTGAAATATAATAAAATTTAGTATTTGAGTATTTTCTTACATAGAGTAATGATACAGTGAGGGATCAAGCCAAACCTTACCTAGTGCTAGTAAATTACTGGGATTGACAGTTCCTGTATCCATTGAAACTTCACCCAAACCATTAACGGACATTCCATTGACCATATTAACAGCCTGTCGTGCACCTTGAGCATCAAGTGTTGTCCAATATGATTCACTTGGTGATGTACTATTTAATCCGGCAGGTAATTGTGCTGCAGCACCAGTGTATCTAAAGTAAGGATTTTTAAGGTCTAGAGTATTGCTGCTGCTTTCGATGTTTGTTCCTTCTAACTTCAAATCTATCGTCACATCATACGATTGTCTGAAATAAACATGTTAAATCATTTAATGTCACTATTTGCGAGTATTAAAAATTAATTATTAAAAAAAAAAAAAAATAATACTACCTTTTATTAGCTATTAAAATGACTTTTCCAGAAAGTAATTGGCCACTTTTACAGAACAAAGGATTTTCCAAGAGACACCGTACTTGATACCAATGAGTGAGAGGTTCCGTTGGTGCTGTGCTTAACCAAACTTGTTGAGTTGAACCAATAAATGCAACATCAAACCAAAATGCAAGACCATGACATGTTCCACTCTCCAATATATGGAAATCAACGTCTATTTCTGTAATCAAATGTAATAAATTAAATATGATTAATAACTCGGTTATTTATGTATTTTATAAGTTAATTTATCACTACTAATTAGCATAAAAGACTGGTAGTAATAGTACGATAAAGATAGATAAATTACCTATTTTATGTAAATCAGTCTCGTCAGCGGTTTGGAAGTCAACAACATGTCTAACAGATTTGGCCATACAAATACGTATATCAAATGTGTCAACAATAGGTTGTCGGAAGTACTCTTTGATTGCGCTATTTCTCAGTGATGACAAATCAACGCCATGGAAACACGTCTGGTACCAAAAGTTAGCTTTATTAAATTGTTCCATGTAAAGTGTTTCATCGGAGAATGGAGCTATGTGAAGGTCACCGCGAGAAGGGAACATTCTTCCACCTGTTATATATTAAATAAATATTACAGGAATTATAATATATAATATTTCCTATTAATTATGAGTATATATATATGTATCAAATAAAAATTGATTTTAAAATATCAAACGTTGGGATACTATTTTTGTTACCTGGTACGAGCCATTTTTTAGCATGGAGATATGTCTCGAGCATTCTCTCATTGTACAACATGTAGCCCATGGGTTCACTGACAATGCAATCAACGCGCTCTGGCAGTTCAATCTCTTCTATTTTACCAGCAATAACAACTATTTTATCCGACAAATTGTTTGCGGCAACAAGAAGCTCCGCATGATTCGCCATATTACTGGCTTCAACGGCATAAACTTTTTTAGCACCTGCTTGGACTGCGAAGAATGATAATATTCCTGATCCAGCACCTACGTCTAACACTACTTTGTCTTTAAAGTCTGATAAATTTCCAAGAATTGCACGCTGATATGTGCTTGTTCTAATGTAATCTTGCATCATATTTTGCTGCTGTGATAAATAGCCGTAGAACTGAAAATACTGCATCGCTGATAAGTCTTCTGTTCTCTCATTGAAAGCCGACATGCCTTTTCCATTTTTAAGTTTTAGCACTTGGGAATGGAAGTTTCGGAAATCTAAATACATTTTTAATTAGTATAATAGTTATTTATGTACTTTTAAATTTAAAATTAATGATTTAAGGTAAAAGACCCATTTATTGGGCCTAGTTGATTGACACTTGAAATTTTATTCTAAATAAACAAATAAAATGTTTTCAAAAAACTAATCACATTAAAATTGATAATTCAAAAATTGTATTTATTAATAATAATTTATTACAGTCGATTTGTTTTATTTAATTAAAATAAAATTACAAGTGTCAATAATTGGGTCTTTTACCTTAAATATCATATTAATATACAATACAGCTTGATAGTATTTTTTCCAATTACCTGGTTCGTTAGAAAATGTAATAAGTAGACTCTCAGCATCGAGAGTAAATACGTAACTCCTAGTAGCAACTCGCGAGCACTCAGTCATATGGGTTATGGGAAATTCCAATAATTGTTTTGGTTCTTTTTCGGTAAAATCCTCTGGAATTAAAGCAATGTAAAAACATTATTAAAGATAAATGATAAAATATGAATTAACGTTTGACTATTACATTGTACAAAAAAATAGTTTTTACATAAATCAAACGTTCAACCGTCGATACAAAGGAACCATTTCCACCTGCTTTATGAAAATTATTCATATTGATTTTCATCAGCAACCGTTTAAAAATACCACTATCAAAATTAAATTAATATCAGAAATTTTATAACAATAAAAATATCTTAAATGATACTTAAAAAATATAAACAAATATAATAACAGTAATAATACTAATAATAAATAAATAAAAATAATTATTGGAGCGTCTTATTTTAAGTGTGGTTAGGTCGCGTCGTTCCAACCTTCCAACATAGATACCCACACAGAGATACGGACATGATCAACACAGATATTGATCGTATTTTATATAAGTAATAAATAAATACCTGATAACAATTCAATGCTGAGTCCTTGAGGATCATAATTAATATTAAGTGTAACCGGTCTGTTGAATTTTGGCGTTGACTGTCCATTGTTTGACAAAGTAGAAACTGTCACCGCGCGAAACGCCTTCGCCATTTTTATATAGACACCGCGTGCGTTTTTGTGCGCTCCAGTCTTTCTTTCTTTCGCGGCGTTTTTTTTATTTTTATTATATTTATCTTTTCTTTTTCTTCTTCTTCTTTTTTATTTATTCCTATTGTCTCTTTGTTGCTGCGGCACACACACACACACACACACTGATAAATAACCGGCGTTGTAAATCTTTTTTATTAATTACTTAAAAACATATACTATTATATACTTTAAGTAAAACTCTCTCTTACAAATATTAATAAATATAAATATAAATAAATAAAAAAATACTGATAATTGATACAATTATTGTTTTATAAATACAATTAAAATAATGAATCGTTTAAATAATTGTTTTTAAACGATAAGTGTACTGATGATTGAAATGGGAATTAAAATGGAGCCGAACAAAATTTTAATAAAGACAAGATCGTATGATTTTCGGAGTTCGGACCACCGACCGACCAACCACCCCCGGCGTGGTTTGCACACGCGCACGTTGTTATCCCTTCTCTTAACTTCCCTTCCTTTGGCTTTGGTTCATTCCTTCCCTTTTGCTTTTGCTTTATAAAATAATGTACCCGCTGTCGCTGCTGGCTGCTATATACTATACACACATCTATACTATTTAACTTTTGCTTGCTTTGCTACCCCACTCTATTCCACTCTGACACTGGAAACTGGGAACTGGGTTCGCTTTATTCTTTTCTCTCTCTTACTTATTATATACTCATTTTATTTATCCCCGTCCCCGGGCCCCTTCGGCACTTTTCGTTTGTATGCTGCTGAATTTACAAGTTAAGACCCGGTAGAGGGAGTATACCAGATAAAACCCGGATAGGATGCTGATCACCCAATCGACGAAAGGGCTAACTTTGACTTTTACATTTAAATATCTTTTTTTATTAATATTGATATTTAAAGTGACAGGTATCAGGTGTTCAATGATATTTTTATTTTTCAATAAACAAATTATTTTTTTTAGTAAAGATAACATTTTTTAGTAGTTTTTAATTAATTTTTGTTAAGTCAATCAATAAAAAATATTTTACAATTGTTTATGACAATGAAGTTAGCTGACATTTCAAAATTTTTAGAAATTTTTTTATCCAAAAAATTTCAATTAAACAATTAAAAAAAAAATATCACTTGTTAAAAAATTCAAAAACTATAAGTGCAATTTTTTAAAATATCTTTTTAGTTGTGTAATTTAATGAAAAAAAAAAATCAAAAAATTTTAGACGTCTGCTAACTTCAGTGTCATAAAAAGTTATGAATATAAAAAAAAAAAAAGATACTCGTTCAGAAAAATGACAAATCTACACGAGTATTTTTTTTTTAATTTGAAAATTTTTGTTTTTTTAAAAATTACAAGATATTTTTTTAAAAAATAGCGTTTTTCGATGAATTTCAGGCTGAAAAATTGGAAAAGTGAAAAATAAAAAAAATACTCGTCTAGATTTCGGCAAATTATAAATAAAAATCAAAAAGTAATAAAATTTTATTTATTTTTTGATCTTTTGAAAAAAATACTCGTTTAGAAAATTTAAAAATCTAGACGAGTATTTTTTCAAAACTAAAAAAAAATTTTTTTTTTTCCAAATTACAGGTCTTTTTATTTTTAAAATGGCGGGTGTCGGCTAACTTCAGAGTCATTTTTTGCAACTCTAACAAAAAAAAAAACACTGACATTAGTATTCACTTTCATAATTAAAAAAAAAAAATCAGGTATAAAAAAATATATGTTTAAATTTACGCGCGCTTTCAAAATCCCATCGTGGTTAAAGTCGATTGGAGATTCACTGAAAAAATTGAGCTTTGATTGGTCGGATTAGTCCAATTAAAATACAAATAATTTTATCAATGCGCATGCGTGAGTGCAAGTGAGATATTTGCGCCATTTTGAATAATCAAGCGTCGAAGGATAAATGCGATCCGGCTTTACTGATTATACATAAAATATAAAATACGTAAACAACAAAGAAATATATACTTATATATTTTGACGTACAGTATTATTGTTTTGGTTTTTGAGAAATGTTTCGAACAAGATTAGTGTCAATAAATTAATTTGATGGGTTGTTGAAAAACGGTGGAAAAGTTATTTTGGAACGACTATTTATAAGTTTTCCGGCTAATTTTTAGGGTTGGGAGTTTATTCTTTTTTTTGGTTATGTATACGCGTCATTATTGTGTTGATTATTTAATTTGTCACATACGTTTGCTAAATATTGACTTAAAATTTATGAAATAACATATTTTGTATTTATATACGGGATTAATTATATATTTTTAAATTATTGAACATATTTTTTTTTTAATAATTTATCCATAATGGTTATTATAAAAAGTTTATTTCTGGAAGCGATCAATCGACCGATTATTTATCAATCAATTGTATCGTTTACTTTTGTTTTATTGACTACATTATTATTTTTATTTCTTAATAAAATACAACCGGACCACTACATTGACGAAGTTTTTCATATTCCTCAAACAAAAAAATACTGCAATGGTTCCTTTTTTGAGGTAAATATTTAACCAATTTTATGATATTGTTTATATTACATAATATCTTACAACTATAGAAATAAATTTGGCTTTTTCAGTGGGACAAAAAAATCACGACACTTCCCGGACTTTATATACTATCAGCAATAATATTAGCGCCGTTTCAGCTATGTACCACAATATACTTACGTAGTATTAATCTAGCCGGTACATGTATTAATTTGTATCTAATATACCAAATATTGAGTACAAAAAAATGGGTACAAAAATGCAAAGCTGAAAATAGAACTTGGTTACCGTTCATGGTATCAATAAGTGTAACACTGTTACCACCACTGTATTTTTGGCATTTTCTATATTATACTGACGTTTTATCTGTAAACTTAGTCTTAATGATGTTTTTGTTACATCAACGCCAATATTATAAAAATTCTGCGATCATAGGTAAGTTCAAATATAATTTCTCCTCTTTCAAAAGAATGATGAAAAACGATGTTTTTTTTACGCGACTCAACACATTCCTTAAATTAATTCAATATCAGTAAATAAATTTTTTTAGGTCATTCTGAAATCGTTTTTTATCAACCCTAAGGCATTATTTATCTTAAACCATAAAACAATTCTTTAGATTTTATGGACATTTTTTTTTTTATCAATTATCAAGTAAAATTGAAGAAAATATAATTTAAAATAATTTAAAAAGAAATATTTTCGTGAATTTTATTTAATATGCATCGTATTTCATTAAGTTGATAGTTTTATTTGGTTACTAGCGGACCCGACAGATGTTGTTCTGTACACATGTCTTAAGTTTAGAAATTTTAGGAATGAGCTTGTATAGTTAAAAACATCATTAGTTAACAATATGCAATGGGCATTCCTCAATAATTAACATCGGAATGAGCTTATATCTTTAAAAAGGTCAATAATTAAGAAATTACATTGTATCTTGTCGACTAATGATATTTTTAAAGATATAAGCTCATCTCGACATTACACTAATCGAGACCTTTCATTTGAGTACCCGCATTAATTTTTCATATATTTTATATATTTATAGTTTGATTTTAACTATTTAAACTTTACTTACTTACTTACTTACTTACTAATCAATTAATTATTAATTATTAACGATAAAAATGTTCTAGTAAAACAAATAGTCAATTTATAAAGGCAAAAATTAATCGACTGATACGCACGTGTTCTTTATATTTAAATAGTTAAAGTTAATTAAAATTAATCCATTAAGGAAATTAAATTTTTTTGGAAAATTTTTTTAATCTAAAAAAAAAAATCCAAAAAAATTTAATTCTTCAGTTCCATTAATGTATTAATTAAAAAAAAAAAACCATATCACAGCTTGCAATGTTTTCATATCTCTCATCTTCCACTTCAACTTCTAATTTTTCACTATCATGCAATTGAGCTTTAAAAAAATTTACCACCGTAAAATCTTCCGGGCCTGAAAAAAAAAAATTATTTTTTATCACAAGAAACCTTAAAAAAAAATGAATGAATTGTGTACGTAACACCGAGAAAATTACGTTAGCCGAAATGACGATGTTGAAAAAAAAAAGTCACAAATTTGTAAATTTTACTTTGTAAGATTTTGTACATAATTACAATTATAAATTATTATAATTACGCGATATAGTACAAGATATACCGATGTATTAGTAAAATTATTAATTAATAATAATTATTAATTAATTTATTGAAATAATATGATCATTAATAATTATTAATTATTAATAATAATAACAATTTTTTAATTAAAGCCACGAATAATAAATAAATTATATTTATAAAGTATTTAATTAATAAATATTAAAAGTATATTAAATTATATTTAAAAAAAATATATATATATATATATATATATATATATATATAAAGATAACCAAAATGATTATTTAAACAGTATGATTATCAATGTCAAAATTTGAAAACTTTATAGAATATTTTAGATAAATTTATTACATTAACAAATTAAAATACAATTTATTTAAAAATCAGTTAATATAAAATTATAAAGTATCAATCATTTTTTCACTAAAAAAATGTCTATATAAAAATTATTTCTTATTTTTTAAATGATAAGAACTGTGATAATATTTAATAGTAATATTAAATTGAATGTAATTTTTATTTCAGGTGCCTTGGCAATTTTAGCGAGACAAACAAATATTATATGGTTAATATTACTCATGGGTGAAAGAGTTTTGACCATAATTGAAGCCGAAACTCCACAGAGTATATCAGCATTACAGGATAGAGGGATCCATGGAACGTCAATCCACGCAAGGGTAAGTCCCGTTTATAAATCTATAATTATTAGCACTAGTTAATAGTAATTCGAAAACTAAGTAATTAACTTACAGTTAATCTGGAATAATGTTCGACATTATGTTCAACGTGGGATCGGTCCATTTGGATCATTTGTGATGCGTATAATCTCATATTTAAAGTATCAATTAACAGTAATCCTACTATTTGTAGCATTTGTTATATGGAATAGAGGCATTGTATTAGGAGATCGTAGCGCTCATGTAGCAACAATTCATCTGCCTCAGATGTTTTATTTCTCCATTTTTACTTTGGCATTCTCCTGGCCTTATATGCTGCCACATGTCAAATCGTTCATACAATGGATCTGCAAACACTGGATCATCACAGGCTTATGTTTAGCAATTGTGACAGCGATTGTTCACAGTAATACGCTAGTACATCCGTATTTGTTAGCTGACAATAGACATTACGTTTTTTATATGTGGAACAGATTTATAGGACGTTATTACTTTGCCAAATACGCTTTAATACCTTTATATGGATTTGCAATCTACGCCACGGTGATGTGTCTCCAGGATATGAGATACTTGTCAAAAGTGTTATATGCAGGGTGCATCGCTGTTGTTTTGATACCACAATTATTACTAGAACCTCGTTACTTTATAATACCGTACATATTAGTACGTTTGAGCTTGCCAGAACCAAAATTATGGCAGATTTCTTTGGAATTAATGACAACTTTAGTTATTAACTTTCTACAATTTTATATATTCGTTACTAAAACTTTTTATTGGACTGACCAAGAAGGTCCACAGCGGTTATCATGGTGATAATTTATTTATATTTAAGTATTTAAAATGACCATTGAAATAATTTAATAGGTTTAAATATAATTTGATTTTGTATACTAAAATTTAATTAAGATCATTTGTTCAGTTAAAATCATTAAAAAATTTCTTAGGTAATACAATATTTCAGATTTTATTTCACGTCAAACTTCTTTTGACACTGTGAAATCATGTTTGTAATTTAATCCGTCTGCACTTGGAGAGCTTAAAAAAAAAAAGTTTCAACGTCAGGAGGAATATTTAGATAATTAAATTACATAATTTTAGTTTATCGATTAGTTTAGCGATCTAATATATTACAAGAAAATTATTTAATCATTAAATTAATAATTTTTATCTTACATTACTAAATTATTTCAATAATTTAATAATTTGATTGCTTTATCCATCACAATCGATTAAATCGATTAAGATTGCCAAAATTATCATACGACTGATAATAAATAATAAAATTTTTATAAAATATATATTGTAGAAAAGTTTATAAATAATAATGACAGTAGTGATAAGGTAAAATGGTTAAAAAAATTAATAATAAATTAAGAAAGAGTATAATAGTTTATTACAACTAAGCGAGATCTTATATTTCAATATTTTACATTTTATCATTAATAAAACAAAGTAAATCTTAATAATTATAATCACCTTTTTTTTTAATTATTAAATTTATAATTAAATATAAGAATAAGTAACATTGCAGTATACACTTTGTGTATTATACAAATATAATACATTATATTTTTTCATTATCATATGTTATACTCGTCATTAAAATCAAATTCATTAATATTATAATCAAATTAACAACATATAATTATATGAATAAATAAGTAAGCAATTGAATTTATTTTTGCATTATTGTGCACATAACAAGGTTTTTTTTTCATTAAATATTAAAATTAATATTATTGCAGTGAAAATATTTTTATTAATAAGTATTGTCTCCCAATTGAATCCACTATCCTGTGATTTAATTTATTTATTAATAAATTTATAAATTATTTTGTTAAGAATTTAAATAACTTACAACTAACTCTTATAGTAAAATGTCATAGTTGTGCAAGGGACTCGATGCATTTGCTACTATTAAATATGCAAGTATGCATTTTTATTTTATAAATGCGTTATGTAACAATTTATTACATATCATATTCAATTTCTAAGCTCCATTATTTATTTATTGCTTTATTTTTATTTATAAATAGTATTAGTGTTATTATTTTTATTTATTATATTTTTTACGTATAAATTGGAAATTTTTTTTTATTAATTTTGAAGAGTTAGTATATAAGATAAATACTTTAAAATTTGAATATTATTTAGAGATAAAAAAAATTAAAGTTTCTTTTTACCTAAAATTCTTGTAGCAATTGTATTTTTAAGTTAAAAAATTTTCAAACCACAAAACATAAACGTCAATATCTTAGATTTAGTCACGGGAATATATTTTTCAAGTGTCTGAGTATTTATAGAGTATAAATTTTGAATAATTTAGTTTTTTAATTAATAAGGAGCAATAGAAGCTGCTGCACAACTCGGAAGCGCTCGAACTTTTATCACTTTTAAAAAATTATCTTATCCATAATAAGTATTAACAAGTTATTTTATTTGTTCTTTAAACTAAATCACTGGTTTATTTTCAATAACTTTATCAATTTGTTACTATAATAATAATAATAATAATAATAATAATAGTTAATATTATTATAAAGTACAATCTTAAAAGTAGTTATTTACTTAAAAAGACTGAAATGAGTGAGAAATTACAAGCCTCATAAATTTATAATTCTAAAATTATAAATACTATGTAGTAGTTATTAAAAGTTAACTAATAAATATTATTATCATTAATATAAATTAATAAATATGAATAAAGAGGGGTCATTTGTAGGCACTGGATCACATTATTAAGTGCAGTTGGTGGTTTAGCACTCGTATCAGTTGTCAGAAAGACCAAATATTACGGATACAGTAATAATTAGTTATTACAAAAATTATTAAAACCTTTTCATAATAATCAATCCTCATTATTATTATCATACTATTTGTTGTTTTAATTCAACAAGATTTGTTGAGCGATAAAGTTTCATATCAAGTGCCGCACTTGGTTCATTTTTTTTCGTCTGTGTATGCCACGCTAGTATTCTCGTGCAATTATCACCAAGTAGTTCTATTTCACGTGGTTCGAAGGGGGTTAAACTACGTAAAAAACCGTCCTCCTCAAAGCCAGCACGATAAGGCATCGTGGCATTTGGCCTTTGGAGAAGAAATTTAACGCTGACCGCGAAACCCGCCATGTCAACAGGAAATCTACGACCTGCTACCCATCCATCGTAAAATCCACTGAACTTGCCGTCTTTTACGACCGGAGAACTCAACCCAAACTTTGTACACAGTCCCACGGGAAACATTGACACTTTTTTTGTCCTCCGTATCTGAAACAATAAAAACACACGAAGGAATTATTTTTATCCGTAAATTTTTTATGGAACTAATATTTCAGTACAAGGATTGAAAGTGCTGCTTGATATATACTTTAAATCGAGTCTGCAATAATTATAAAAAATTGGGAAAACGGTTGACCCTAAACTAAAGGCTATCCCTGAAACTTCTCGCTAATTCCATAACTAAGCGCTTAAAATTGCACTTGTGACGTTGTTGAGCTCAAAAGTCTGATAGAAGTTTAATAAAATACTATTCTTTAAATTTCCAAACTGCAATTACTTTTGAATGAATAAACCGTTTTTCACGCCGTTGGCAGCATCCGACGTAGTTTTTTAAATCCTATGATTTACTTTTAAGGGGGAACACCACTGTGACGATCGAAAAAAAAGAGGTGATTTTCGGGAATTTTTTTTGACAGGGAAAATAAAGGAATTTGGGAATCCGGTTTTTTTTATTTTATTAAGGGTACATTAAAGATTATTATCCTAAATTTTTATTAAAAAATTATTTAATTATTACAAAGTTATTAACAATCTCGTCGAGCACTGAAGAAAATTTCCCCCCTCCACGGTCGGTTCGATAACTCAAAAACAGATCATCTGAAAATAAAAATCCAAATTGCTTTTTAATCAGTAAGGGTGTAGTTATCGTCGCACGTACGGAATTTGAAAAATTTTTATTTTAAAGATTTTTTTAGCCGGGTTAAAACAAAAAAAAAAAACAGTAAGAATAGTGAGAAAATTTTCAATCAGTCGCCATTTTTTTTAAATTAAAATTTTCAAAATTTAGGGTAATAATCTTTAATGTACCCTTAATAAAATTAAAAAAACCCGATTCTCAAATTCCTTTATTTTCCCTGTCAAAAAAATTCCCGAAAATCACCTCTTTTTTTTCGATCGTCACCGTGGTGTTCCCCCTTAAATACAAATTGATCGGACCGAAAATTTCGGAATAATTTGACAAAATCATTTTTTTTTTCGTCAACGATAACGAACGAATTAATCGATTTTGACCAGCCCAGCGGCAATAGACGTGGTTTTTTTTATCTTAAGAGTTGATTAGTTTTTGAAATCGATCGGTAAAGCCGTTTAAAAGTTATTCAAAAAAAAACCACATTTGAAAAGACTTTTTTTCGTAGTTTTTTTGAGATTTCTCCGGTTCGAATCGGTCCAAATTGTATTGAAAATCTAAGTTCGGTCAAGCCCTTTTGAATAGCGCCAATCGTGATCAAATCGGTCAAGTCGTTCAAAAGTTTTGAGAGGTTTACACATGCGCACGTAGGCACGCCATCGTAAAAATCGTCAGGTCAGGAAAGCTTCCTAGGACCTCAAAACGTCGAGATTTGATGAAAAGTTGATTTTCGAAAAACGGGTTAGAACCAATAGCTTCCTGATTTTCGAAAATTTCAAATTTTCAATTTTTTTAGCGGGAAGTTAAAAAAATCTTACTTGGGTGAAAAGATCAAGGTCGTATGTATTGTCATCATCAGCAAAGTAAAAAACTCCTTCTGTTGCGTTAGCGCGAATCCACTTGAGGCCACGATTTCTATTAGAGACCCCTCGTGGTTTTACACCTTTTTTCTGTTTGTATTTTGCTGGCATTGGTGCTATAAATATTAATATTGATTGATTAATTAATTAATTATTTATTAAATTTATATTCATAGATTTATTATTATAATTTACCAGTTAAATGTTGAAATCGTAGACCAGTACGATTTAAAAACTTGGTAACTTCCTTTGTCGGTACTTTTGCGTCTTCTATAACTAACCAATTAACATTTTCGACCAACATCAATGTGTGAGACATTCTTATAAGCTCTGGAATCTGTTCAGGTCTCCTGTAGGTTGGTGTAATTACATAAAGTGGTGGAATTTTTTCACTTGGATTGATTGTCGTAACTTCCTGCGTCCGTTGCTTGAGCTTGAAATCTTCAGACACTCTTAAATGCAACGGCGAGGGTATTCTGGTTTTTCGAAATTGATTTATTAGTTCAGCGACTAAAATATTTTGCAAATCCGGGCTCAGACCGTGAACATTTTGAACCCATTGCACTGCGGCCCGAATCTATAAAAGTTAAATTTATTCTTTTAGCTTTTTAATATACTTAAATATTTAGTTATCGATTCGAATATATTTATAGAAAGCTTAAAGCTCGAGGAATAAAAATTCAATTGAAAATTTTATATTTCAGGCCACAAAATCATTGATCATAATGAGAAATAGAAAAAGGCTATCAATAGTTGATAGTGATTGATTAAAGCTGGATACATTACTTTTGATTAAAAATATTAATAATTTATTTTAATCAAGGGATTTAAAGCACGTAATATTATTGGATATTTTTATTCGATTCATCATCATCAAATGTTCAATACTTCCACTCATTAATCTTTTACTGTAGCAGTCCAATGTTAATATATACTTTTAATTTATGCACCCGATCGATAAAGTGAATAATTATATTATATGGTTGTAAATTATAAATTTAAAATTGACAGACAGAAGCTATATCAGAAGTGATAATTTTAAAAATAGAGATAATAGCGACACTCGCCGAAAATTTTTTTCTAGCCGTAATTTATTTCTTTTTATCAAAAATATTGTATTTATTTTTTTTTTATCTCTTTTAAGATCAGCATAGGTTTTTTTATACTTTACACGGAGAGAAATTTATAAGAATCTTTCCGACAATTATGGGAATGGATCCTATAATAAAATTATCATTATAGGCATTAATCCTATACTCATTATGGGAACCATACCCATAATTTATTGGAAACGTTCCTAATACAATAATGGAATAGCTTCAATATATTATGGGAATGGTTCCTATAATATTATAGGAATGGTTATTTTCTTAATAATGAAGCAATCACTTCAAAAATATAAAGTAATTATCATGTATTTTTTTGCTAATAACATTTTTTTTTGTAAATAAAAATTGACCTTTCACTAGAGTGAAAAAATTTCTTATTCATCATTTTTATTCACGTGTGTACTTAATCTTGAATTATTTATTCCAGCTCAGTGATTATTGTGTTAAATAATATTGAAAAATATTGTAGCAATTTCATTCTCCAATAAAAAGGATATTTTCTCACTATACAATTGTAGAAGCAAAATAGATATGGAAATTCATTGTTTATATTCACAATTTTATTTTATTTTTAAAGCAAATTATTTATTTAAAATGCATACGTTGAGCCGCGAAAACATTTGAAAATTTGAAATTTCAAAACAATTGGAAATTTTATGTTATTTCAGAAATTTTTTTTTTTCTAGTAGAAATTTTTTTTTTAACTAACTTTTTTTTTT